ACATTATGTTTAACAAATGGACCCCATCATCATTGTCGTCATCTACATCCTCATGTCTTCCATTGGCTCATCGCTTCTATCTTTAGACTTAGAGTCACCACTTTCATTTTGGTATTTATCCATTATAATTCTTTGTTTGGCTCAGAGTTTGCATATGCTTCCTCCATATCTTCTTCATCAATGTTAATTACAATTTCTTTGAAAACAACATATAATTCAATGGTAGGAATTAGCAAATGATGTTATTGATGTATTTTAAATATTTGTAAAACATCAATATCTTTTGTTATTAGAATTATATGATATTGTATTAAACCGCTAAATATTGATAATTGACATCTATAAATAATATTTTTCACTGCTTTTAAAATTCAAATTCTGAGTCAATACTTTGGTTCGCCAAATGATACATTATCTCTCATATACACATATGTTGACTTTTTGCACCTAAATAACACATTTTTCACGAGTGCTTATAATAATTTCACCATTAATATATATCAATAAGAATACACTCATTTTTTCTAATATGATGAACTCACTTATTATCTAAAAATTCTTCTTTCTACTCACACACAACTAACAAAGATTGAAGTAGACAAATATCTTGAAGATCGCTAATGACGACTTTTAAGATTTTTTAATTAATTTACATGATCTAAAAGTTGTCAATAATTCTATTATTATTTTTTGAAATGCCCAAAACTTGCCAATAACAATTATAAGTATATATTTTTTAATTTTTTTAAATCCAAAACTTTTTTTTATGGTGATTTTATATATTTTTTTATTTTTTTAAGCACCAAAAGTCGTCAAAGCAATTTATTACATGTACAATTTTTTTAAGTTGCCGTTGGTGAGTTTTGAAAATGATTTGATATTTTTAATTCTAAAAATATCATTGACAATTTTTACTAAAATTCTATATTCATGTAATAAGCAAAAAAAAAAATTTCATATATCTTGTATTTTTAAAGAAAAAAACCATAAAAAAAGAGCCCGTATACAATTTTCTTATGCATGTTAAAGTTTCAATTTTTTTACCATTTTGTTAGTTGTTTATTTTATTTTCTATTTTTTCTTCTTTCTCCTTTGACCATCTATTTCTTGAACATATTTTGTAAGAACAAAATAAAATTGAATTTTCACTCTAACTTTTTGTACTAGTGCACTAGGATTTGCTTCAGTGAATGTAAATGGGAGAGGATCCAAATCTCAGTGATAGGCTCGACATATGGAGTGCATTCTTCCTCCACTAGTTTAGGCATAGTTAATCTTCTTTTGAGCAAAAACTTCTTTTAAAATTTTGGCTAGTCTGATACAAGAGAAGATCAAGCAGTTTTTCTCTTCAATCCAAACTAGGTCACATCTTTTTTTCTCACTTTTTGTGAGCATGTCAAAAAGTTATTTTATACTTCGGTACTCAAATGTCTTTGTAACATGTTGATAATAATAAAAATAAATAAAATAATTGATACTTGTAATTTAAAAAATTAATGAGTATTTAATTATTATTTTTACCTTAACTCAAATTTTAAAAGAGATTACTAATAAAAATTTAAAATATATAAAATATAAAATTAGTAGTTTAGCTCTCTAATTTTAATATTTTGTTTTAATTTTATACTTTTTAAATTTTATTTTGATCCTTTATATTTTTTTCAACATTTCTTTAATTTTTTTATTATTTTAGTTTAGTAATTTAACTTTCAAATACTATTTTTTAAAATTATGCTTAACTACATTAATTAAAGAGTAAAAAGTATAATGAAAATGTAGATGGTAGAATTAAGAGAAAAAGTAGTAATTAATAAAATTAAACATGTTTAAAAAATAATATTTTTGGTTAGCATTAAAAAATCAAAAGACTATAATAACATAAAAAAGTTAAAGAAGCAAATCACACTAAAAAAAAATAAAAAAATAGATACCTGTAATAATAATCTTACTTGCATGTAATTAAGGATATATTAAATTATAGATTTAATTCTTATACAAGAATTCTCTTTGTAATTTATTTTATATAGATAAAAACTTTATATATCAATATTTATATACAAATTTAATTTCAATACATTATAATGATGTTAGTTCTCTTTCTTGTTTGATAAATAATTATTTAACATAATATATTTAAATTATTTTTTAGTCTTTGTATAAGATTTTTTTTTGTAATTTAGGTTTTTATAAGTAAAAACAGTTTGTATATAAGTTCCTATATAAAAATTTATTTACAATTTTATTTCTATTGTTATTGTGATATTTTTGTATGAGTGTCAAATGACATTTTTTATTATTTTTAAATAAATATTCTATATTTTTTAAAGAATTCTCGTATTGAATATATTTTTAATTTAAAAATAAATAAAATGGTGATAATAGTGATAATTTAAAGAAGATCATAATTTTTTTACAAATATATTTAAGATATAAAAGAAAAAGTTATTGACTTTAAGCATGAAATCTTATCATATAAATAAGATATTAAAATGTTAGAAAGATAATATTCATGTTAATATGAATCAAGATATGAAGTCTTACAATGATATTTCTTATATAAATTTAAAGCAAAGAAACATTAACTTGTATAATAAAGTTGGAAAAAGTATGAATAAAAAGATGAGACTTCTTTAAAGAATTCAAAATACTCTTCTAAAAGATGATAAAATATCACTTGACACTTATATATAAAAATGTCATCATAATAAAGATAAAATTATTTAAAATTTTATATAAAAACTAATAGTAGATAAGTATTTGTTAAATAAAAAAAAGTTAATATCGTTATAACATATTATAATTACAGAAACAAAATTAAAAATAATTTTTATATTAGAATTAATATATAAATTTTTAAACTAAAAGGAGTTAAAAAATAAGTAAGAATAAAAATAATAAAATTACTTTTTTCGTCTTTTAACTTTAGAGTAAAATTTATTTTTGTCTTTTAATTTTTTTTTAGTTCATTTTAGTCTTTTAACTTTTAAAAAAATTTTAAACAAGTCTTTTTCTATTAAAAACTCTAAGTCTGTTAAAAAGTTTTGTCGTTATGGGTCACATGTACTATACATTACTGTTCATCCGACCTTGTCTTGACACTTTTTCTTCTTCCTTCTCCCTTTCATCTTTATCTTCTTATATTCAAAACTTCATCATCAAGCACAACCTAACTTTCTAATACTCATTTTCTATAAAATTTCAGTCATTTTGTTTTCCTCTTCTTTAATGGAAAATTTATGCCCTATTAACTTTGAGTCTGAATGCTTGTTTATGGTTGTTTCATGGTTTGCCACAATGGTAGGTCTGTCTAACATTAACGGTCATAAGGAGTTAGAATTGTCGTTGCCAGTTACGAAAGCACAGGAAAATCCACACTCATAGCTACAATTACATCAAATTCTTGTCCTGAGTCCATTCCAATTGTGCATCTCCCAACTCGTTTAGCCCATTATTTGTACTCGATTCTATTCTGCTTACCCTTATTGACACTCCTTCCAGGTCCCTAACTCACATGTATTCTTCCTCTTGTTGCCACTTCTTTATCATTTCTACTAAAGAAATAAACTACAAAAATATTCAATCCTTCAATAAATTAATTAGTTAATCAAAGATAAGCCTTAGATTTAACTGAATAAAATGTGATTCAATTTTTTTAATCAACAAACTAGATAGTTGATGGGACATAAAATTTTTTTGGCTTTGAATGTGAATAAAATTACTTACATTTAGATCAGAGATAAAATTCTAGAAAAAGAAAAAAAAAACATGACTAGGAAATTCTATTTTTTGGCTTTGAATGTGAATTCTTTAGTAAAAAAATTGAGTTTTGAATATAAAATGATGAAGATAAAAAGAAGAAGAAAAAAGAAAAAGTGTAGAAGATAAGATTAGAGATATGAGAAGGAAGACTATGAACAATAAAGCTTGATACATTAAACGAAATTTTTTTTTAACAGAATTAAGATATTTAACCTATGTGAAACTATTTTAAAAGTTAAAAAATTTAAAAAAATAAAGAATAAAAATAAATTTTATTTTAAAATTAAAAGATGAAAAGAATAATTTTATTAATAAAAATTTATTTAAACTTTTAAAAATAATTAAATATCATTCAGCTTAACCTATCTTGAATAATTAAATATTACTGAAAAAAAAGAGAAATAAAAAAAAATAGCAAAGTGAGTCTCAACAAACGAGCCAGTCATTCTTGCACACGTGCACAAGTCACACCAAAAGGCAACATAAAACGGGAAGAAATCACAAAAACTTGTGGTCGGTTAACCGCAAGGCTATAGAGGCCTAGGCACAATAAAAGAGAAAAATGCTTTCCTTATAAGAGAATCTCCACATCCTAACCGTTCGATTCGTATATCTATTCTACGCAAACACGTGGACGGTCCCTGTTCTCTCTGTTTCTGAGTACAAAATCATAAAAACCTTTGTTGCAGAAAACGACAACATAGACTCAGCACCTAAAAGTTTCGAAAACAAAACCACAACCCCCGGTTAAACACTTAACCATGGTTAGGTTAACTTTCTTGGTTTCGTGTGTGCTCCGCAACTGCTATGGAATTTAACTCCAGCAGAACCCAACGTCTCAACCATAATCATAATACCACATTTCTTTATAAATTTCACTTTTTATATTCGTAACCCAATACGCTGTAATAAACTCATTAATAATGAATCCTTACTTAAATATTCTTATGAAAAATCTATTATATATGTGTAATTAATTAATACTCATTTATACATTTTGTTAACTGACAAGTTTACCGGCATGAAAATAGTAAGTGTAACTCAAAGTAACGTCCACTATATGTACGAAAAATAAGAAGGGATGTGATTGTTGTGTCACGTGGCAAGAAGATGCAAAAACACTTGTCACAATCGAAGTGAAAGTAACAATTTTGTGTGTGACACGGCAAACAAAGAAAGTAACGCGCAAAGAAAGAGAGAGAAAGAAATATAGTACAGATGCACAGTACTGTTCTGCACTGCACAAGTTTCACACACTCCTTGTCATTTTATTACCGCATTTGGGGTTCTTCTCTCTGCAACACCATCTCTCTCTACTTTCTAGACCACATTCAGAGAAAACCCAGGTGGGGTTTTTCATCCATTGTTGTTTTCTTTTTCTTTTTTTATCTCTGTTGATCTTTGAATTTGGTTAACTCTCTTGGGTGTGTTGTAGACCCTGTCCCTGCTTTAATTTCTGGTTTCTCCCCAATCTAGTGCCTTGTTTACGCTTTACTACTTTTTTTTATTTATATTTGGTATTGTTGTATTTTGAATGTTTTCTGAGCTCTATCAGATGTCATTGATAATTTCTCTTGTTCTTTAATGTTATTTTTGTTTTTTTATCCCTCGTTTTTTAGGTGGGGTTCTCCTGTTCAATGATTACTATGTTGTTTTTTTTCATTTTATTTTCTATGGTGCTTAATCATAAGAATGATTTGCTACGATTTTAGACTCTTTAATGTCTATTGGCCCTCCCTCCAAAAAGAAAAACTTCTTTTTTTTTGCCCCTTTTGCATTTGGGGTTGATGCATTGAAGTGAATGTTAATTGCTTGTCATTGAAAAACTTTCCCCTTATGTGATATACAATTAAAGTTCAAATCTTTTTCTCATATGTGGATAGAAATGTTACATTGTGTTGATTTTTGTTGCTGGATTTTGTTGATTGATTTTTGTTTTTGTTTTTGTTTTTTTATCATTTTGTGCTCTATCATTTATGTGAGCAAACCTGTGTTTGTTTTAGTTGGTGGCTTGAGATAATGCTGAGGAAGAGGACCAGGTCAATCCAGAAGTATCAACACAACACAGATCAAATGGCAATTTCTGATACCAATTATGAGTCTTATTCTCAGTCTTATTTGGGGACCAATGTAAAAAAAAGCTCAATTTTCAAGGCCCCTCTTCTGTTTGTGGGTATGGGTTCTAAAGGCATGTTGGATTCTGATTCAGTTAAGAGCCCCACTTCCCCATTAGATGTTACATTCCTTTCAAATCTAGGTAACCCCTTTAGAACTCCTAGATCACTAACCAACGAGGGGCAACAAAGGAGTTGGGACTGTGCCAAAGTAGGTCTAAGTATTATAGATTCTTTGGAAGAATGTTCTAAATTTCCTGGGAAAATTCTCCTCTCCTCAGAGAACAAGAAGACTTGTTTTAGTCCTCAAATGATTACTGAAATCCCAAACTGTAAATCCTATATGGATGCTGCTCAGGCATCTAAATCTTTGCCTACAGATTTTTGTAAGCTTCCTTATACTAAAAATGGTTCTATTTTCCACAAGGGTGAATCTACTGTTCTTTTTGAGATTGGAGAAACCCTTCTAGAACATGAACCTTTTGCGAAAACTGTGTCTTGTTCATTGGACTCTTGCAGTACAATTCAAGATCTGTCTGGTTTAACTGGTTCCAACTTTGATTCTGATTCTGAGAATTTTGCTTTGAACCAATTGAGCTCTCCTCCTCATTTTATTGGAGGAAGCCAGAACTCAAACACTTTGCTACCTGGAGAATTTAATTCAAATCCTGTGTCTGCATCCTCTTCTGATGAATTTCTCAAGTCTCTATCAGCCAGTGAGATTGAACTCTCTGAGGACTACACACGTGTGATTTCCCATGGTCCTAATCCCAAAACAACCCGAATTTTCTGTGACTGCATCTTGGAAACTCATGCAAATGATTTCGAAAAACATTATAAGAATGAAGAGAAGGATGGGGGATTGTCCTGTCTTGGTGTTAACAGATTTCTGACTCCAAACCAATATCATTCCGATGACTTCTTAAGTTTCTGCTACCATTGCAACAAGAAATTCGAAGAGGGGAAAGATATTTACATGTATAGGTAGATTAGCACTATTGCATCTCTTTTGTTATGACTTTTAGTTCCTTTGAAGGATAGAATTTGATTCTGATTTCGGCTTCCTTTGATGTCCTACAGAGGTGAAAAGGCATTTTGCAGTTTGACTTGCCGTGCACTGGAGATCCTGAATGATGAGGAGCTAGAGAAATCTGATCCATCATCTGAAAACTCTCTCAAGTGGGATTTTGGTGGATAACTTGTTGAAACAGGTACATAGAGGCTTTGCCACCATCGGCATTAAGTCCATGAGATGAGTAGACGCGGTTGATCATCTGTTCTAAAAGAGCTGTTTTTGTGTGCATCTATTAGCAGCCATGGATGATTGTTTTGTACATCATTGCGTTTGCTATTTGTTTTTCAGCTTTTTCATGGTCTCGGTGGATGATGGCTCCACAGCTAGATTTGGTTTCCATATATAACAACATATATAATGACATTACATGATAGGTTATGTTTATTTTTCATACAAAACCCAAGGGTTTAAGCCCATTTTTGTTGGCTTACCCCTTACTGAAGTTGCTTTGGCTTATCTCTATATTATGCCAAGAATCAGTGTATGCAAAACCAAACAGGTTTTTGACTTGAAGGTTGTACTACTATATATTGTAGTTCATGTGAAACTATTTCCTTTTTGTTGGATTGTAAATCAAAAAGTTAATTGATTTGGTCTTTTCTGCACTATGTCCTGGTTCGACAGTAATCGCTTTCATATGAATGATTGTAAGCATGAAATTCTTGTACTATGATTTTGAATATTTGGTGCCTTGTATTGCCCCACGATGCAATCTAATGGTTCTTATGAAAGCAGTAGTTGTTATCGTAAGATTTTCATTCTTCTAAACACTCTCTTGTACAACTATTTTAAATCAGAGATTGAAGTGAAATAAGTGTGAAGTAAGATGGATAATATGAAGAGAGGTAAAATAATAATTTGGAAAATGTAGGAAAGGGAAATAATAATATGTATAATGGGAAAAAATGATGTCAATTTTGCATTTTGAATAAGGCTGTTAACTCCAATGGTCCTAGCCTCACAGTTCCAAAATGTAAACCTTTTCTATGCCAATAGAACTTTCTTTTAATATTGCTTCTTTATAAAGAAATTAATTTACTTCTATTGATGGCTTTTGCAATATACGCAGTATGTATCATTTGGGTAATACTTTAATAAAAATAACAGAAGAACGAGTTGTGCATACAAAAGAGTATTATGCACACACAATGCACAAAACTCTTAAGGAGCAGAAAATGGTTTGATTTCGCATGTGGTCTTTTTCTCAATATTTTTAAAACCAGATTAGTCTATTGGTTTACAGTTCAATTGTGGTATGTTAATTAAATACAATTTTTATTTTATATAATATATTAACTTAAAAATTAATATAATAAAGTAATATTATAAATTTATATTAATTAATTTTTTATCATATTTTAATAACAAACTTTATATTTTTATTTTCATATATATATATATATATATACTTTTCTTTTCTTTTTTTATACCTAAACATAATAATGTATTATATATTAAAATTTACTAATCTTAAACGGGCAAAGGGAATCTTTCAGTAAAGTTTTCTATGATTTCAAGATTATAAATACTTGTTTAAGGTTATAAATTGATTTTTTGAAGGAGTGTGGATAAAAAAAATTGTAGGGTTGATAAACCGATGTTAAGAGAAAACTTTATTATACAACATAAGACTTTTTACCTTAATATTCTTTGTAAAAGCCATAAATAAAAAAAATAGACAATTTACAAATATAAAAATCAAGTGGTGATAGCTCAGGGGTTTATCAGTAATTGACTTTTGAGAAGAATTAATTAGAGAAATATAATTGAAAAATACAAGACAGTGATACTTTCATTTGAGATAGAACATTAAGAAAACTATGAAGATAGCTAAAGCAGTCTTAGGTGAGTTTTTTATATTATAATAATGATAAAAGATTTGTTACTTTGCTCCCCAATTTAATATTTTATAAAATTATCACTATTAATAATTCTAAAAAATTCAGAGAAAGATGTAAAATAGTTAAAACTTTAAATTAATCGTATTACTCTTTTAATATTTAAAGATAAATATAAAACCATAAACTATATAATTTATTTAAATTTAATTTTGATACGTTAGTATATAACACTACTCATACACGTAATATATTAATTTAATATATAATAGAAATATTGGATTGACATGAACCTTTCAGCAGCTTTTCTGTAATGTAGATGTACGCCATTGTGTGACACAATCCATATTTTTTCATACAGTTTTAAAACTTTGGACGATCAAATTGGTAGGTGTCATGTTATCTTCTGATTTTCTTTTTTCTTTAGACGAAAACTATATTTGGTTGCGCAGTTTCTATTGGTCGGTAATTTATTTTCTTAATGGTGGAAACTTTCCTGCTAATTTAGTATTTGTAGCTGTCTAAATTAAGGAAGCATAGTTAAGGGAATAAAACTAAAAAGACAAGACATTAAGTTTTCCTTTTTTATCACGAAAAGCGTGAAGTTTTGAATTTAACTCTGCGTGTATTATTGGACAAATCATGCTACAGATTTTAACGTTAAGCCCGCAACTATTTACAAGTGAGAATCAAATTCTTAACCTTTATGTCACGTAAATGTTGGTAATCACACTGAATTGTTGAATCATTTTTTAATTGTTTTCCTCTCTGATAAGCAGCCAATAACATTTTCCCCACTCTTTTTTCTAGAATTTTTATCCTACAAGATCTTCCAAAAATGTAATTTTAGAAGTTCAGAATTAAAATTTCAAAATATATTAAACTCTTTTCCAAAAATAAAAAAGAAAACCTGGAAGGTGCGAATTTAAAAACAATTGAGATTTGAGAAGACCAGGCCCTTATAACGAATGCCTCAAAATTGGTACCAAGCCTGTTCTAACGTTAACAGGCCCGACGTTTTCCATTCATGTATTTTTCAGATGACAGAGTGTTTTCCGTCTGTAAAAATAGTACCAATATCGTGGAACTGCATCACTTGACAGTGTTAGAGCAATGTCAATGACATTTCATAAGAACAATCTATAATGGTTCCGAAGCTTTTCGATCATTCAATAGAACATTTTAACAGTACATTTGTTTCATCTTTTTATTACCACTGTAGAGAGAAATGTTGGACCCAATTATGATCTCTCTAAAGGTACAAATTTCTCCGTGTTTACCCAACGACGAAAATGTCCAGTTACATCTCATACACATTTTTATCACCAGTGTTATCATATCAGTATCCACTTAATTTGATATTCGATATCATTGTCTAGAAAAATAAAAATGTTTAGAAACATAAATTTCCCTTAAACCGGATTCCTATAAATTGAAACAAAAGAATAAAAAAATAAAAGACTGTGCTCGGCAGATTGCAAAGTTAAAATTACACAAACAACTATCATACCCTAACACACACTCGGGGTGATTCCAATTAGTGGCCCCAACAAATTACATCATAAAGGACCATTATTCTTTCCCTATGAATGTGGCTTAGCATGCAATTCAAATTCCAACTGTCCACAACCACGTATCCAATGAAGGACACACGTGGATTCCTAGTGCCTTCACGACAATCTCATGAGAACTCAAATGAAGGCCTTAATGAAGTCAATACATATCCACTGCCCCTTGCTCAGCCTCTTGTCTGTCGTGTGTTATAGGACTTGCAGTGTAGGCATTTTTGAGCCACAAAATGGAACTGAACCTGCGAAGTTTTGCCACAGTCATTGCACAGGATCCAAACCTGTTGAGAATAACAACATTAGTACCTCGTAATCAGCAGGCAATATGATATTGGATTTAATATACAACAAAAAACACAGGTCTATGCATCTTTAATGCATGGCGCAGAAAGAGGGGGTATAAGTCGGAGGGAAAAAGGAATACTGACCATTTTATTTTGATATGGCTCAGGCATTGGTGTAGCGGCAATCTCTATGTCAAATTTCTCCCAAACCTTTGACATATCACAGACTGACTTCGAGCAGAGAGGGCACGCATACCTGATGTGAATAAAAAACAATGAAGAATCAGGATAAATTTTCAGATAGAAGGGGAGAAGTAAGGAGATGAGAAACTGTGATACTCACTGAAAATGTTCTCTCATTTCATTCAGGCAGCTCTTATGGATTGTATGTCCACATGGCATAACAGTGACATCGTTTCTTGATTCAAACAAGTACTGCAATAATTAATAATCAATATTGGTGTGCTTGAATCAGCCTCCAGATATTCAGAAGGTAGTTAGTTAAAGTGATATTTAAACCATAAAAGGTGCAGGATAATACCTCAAAACAAACAGGGCAATCATGGTGCATTGCTCCTTCTACACAAGGGTGACTGTTTTTCAGAAGAGTTGAGTAGCAACAACCTATGCAAGAAAATCACGAATGTCATTAATAAACAGGTAATAAATTTTAAATAATTGCATTTCTACATAGTACTTAAAATCCATAGGAAAGATGCAATAAAAGAAAACAGGAATAAAAATAATTACATACCACACTTGTAGCAATGGAAGAAATTATTGCTTCCTCCAGTTCTGTGTTAGAAGTGAAAACATTACAAAATCAATCAGTCTGAATTTTGATACAAAGGCTAGTCAATCTAAAAACGCAAAACACACTATAGCTTCAAGATATACTTCGGATAAAAGTGACCTTTAAGTCACGGCCAAAACACACAAAAAGTAAAATGAAAAAGTATAGCATTGCATTTCCACTTTCACAAAATTCCCCAAAATCAGGGGTACAGCAAGAGTGCTAGGCTGGCTGAGTTAGGGTGGCCATGTGAGAAATATTATTGCTAGGGGCCAAATTCACGTTTATCATAAAATAGATGGAAAATAAAATTTGAGAAAAAGAGTGGAGTCCCCTTCAAACACATTGCTGTTCCCCCCCTAGAAAGTAGAGATGTTGATATTTCAGATGAAAAACTAAATTAGCAAATTATACCTGCAAATTCCACAGCCACTACAATGGTACTGCTGCTTAGATATCTGCAGCACATAAAAATATTTAGTTAATATTCACTGGTTTATCGTAACCTGAGATAAATTATACCAGCAATCGGACCAAAGATAAAATATAAAATATATAAAACGTAATTTGGTTCCAGGATGATTTACTTACATCATCATCAAAAAGCTTGCATGTCCCACAGAAGTACTTGCCCATACAAACACCACAATTAATACAATTTTGCTGAACCTGGAAGCAGTTAAAATCAGTACATGAAATATTTAGTGTAAATGATGAAATTTCAGCTTTTGAAATGGATATGTTGTGGATAAAATAAGAAAGAAATAATTCAGTAGTTTCAACTTTCAAGCAGCCTATTATCTAGTGCCCTAGTCAATATCTATCTAGGATGAAACCCACAAAAATACTTTCCACAAAACATCTGGCGGAGCTTTCAGAAAGCAACAAGCCTTTAAACTTCCCCTGACAAATGCACCAATTTGTTTCCTTTCTGCCTATGCATGCACATTCACATGAAGCGGGATTTTCTTTTTACTTGATTGGTCAAAGATTTGTCCTATAAACTGCTGTCTACATTCTCCCTCATAATTACTACAACGTGAAGCACAAAGAAAGATATTGAAGAAATTCTAAACTCACCTCTTGTTCAGTCCCACAAAGTGAACAAATCACCTGAGTATGTCAAAATTATTTCATTAGTGTTGAGGAATTCCTTGGCCATGAATAACAAAACAAATGCTGAAAAAATGTTGGGATATTTTAATTGGAAATGTTCAAATAAATAAACATACCTGTTTGACTTGGTGTCGGGGAATGTCATGTCTATGCTTCTGGTCAATGTTGATATCATTCTGTAGAAAAACAAGATAACAAAAGTAAGTTCAAAGTAAAAGTAATGATACAATACAAGAATTATACACAGTCAGATCATTCCCAGTACATTATGGGTCCATTCGATGGAGAGGGTGAAATATAATTTCCTATCCTATCCTATTTTTGAGGGCGGCTGGAATATCACGGGGGGACTAAAATGAATCTGGGTATTTGAAGTTATGAAGGTGTGGCCGTAGCACATTTGTTGAACCAATAGGATATGATAAATCTATCCTATGGCCTTTTCCTATCTAGTTTGTTGAACCAACAGGATAAGGATAAGCCGATAAGCTAACTTAGTTTGCTATTTTAATATGCATCAAATCAAACATAAAATAAGATAGTTCATAACTCTTATGATTCTGGATTGCCTGGAAAACATGGAGACCTCATTTAAAGGGTGGCAGATCATTACATCCAAACAGAAAAAGGTTGGGGAATTGTATCATTTGTGACAACAATCATAAATAAAATATGTGAAACATACAGCTGTTATCAAATACTAGACTTGGCAAATTTACTCACTTTTGCCTCATTGTGACAATGGCGGCAATCAAAAATCTCATTGCAACAAGGTGCCCTGATGCGACATCTTCTCCAGTAATGTTGACATCTGCAGAGAAAGCATAATTTTAACAAAAGAAAAGGAAGTGCAAAAACATAAACAGTGGACGAGTTTATGAACAAGAAATTACCCATATTCCATATATCCTTTCTCTAGCAAGTCATTGGTACTTTTGTGATCTGTTGATTGACTTGATTCTTCTCCTGGCAAGTGCTCTGTATTTGGTGCTGGAGGATACTCTTCTTTCTCAGTCATATGTTTAATGTCATTACATTCAAACAGCAGAGGCTCAGAGTGCATTATTGCCACCTCTCCCATGATACTAGCTATCCTCAGATAAGATTACCAACTATCTAGAAGCAGGCAGTAAGAGACCTGCATGTTAGAACACATTTAGAAATAATCCTAAAACTTCTAAAGGCATATCTAGTCACCCCATCAAGCCAGGTAAACACCAATGCATCGTTGCTTTCTTCTATACTGCTGCAGACCAATGGAAATCAGCAACAAGAAAATCGATTTACCCAGCTCCAATCAGCACTACTCCAAGAGGGGAACACATCAAAACAAGCTTATACACAAGAATTCCACACATTACTACAATGTAGCACTGGGGTACTTGACAGCCTCCAGCAGAAAATACAAACCAATAGTATTGAATGATCACTTGATTCCTTGAAGAACTCCCACAATCAAATCCAACTATACTGGAGCCAATCAATAGACACTCCAACCTATGTTGAAAGCAATAAATCACTCAATTAAATGCATCCCAAATAAAAAATATATATATAGTACATGTGTTGATTTTATTTTCCATGAAGGGCAAGCCTACCTTAAAATGCAGTTCTGCATTGACTCCTCCATGAACTGAAACTTACCAAAAGCAAATACTTAAAAACTCCAAACAATCTGCACCTTGATAGATACCTTTGGATCAAATTACAACCCTTTTCTTCATTAACTAGGTAACTTGACAGTAGACTACGCATTCACCGCCAAAAAAGAATATCTACACATACTCCAGGAACTAGTTTATGAATATTCAAGAACAGAATCCTTCTCCATATCTGGAGTACAGCAGGGTCATCCCCTTCTACCAACCATGACAGAACAAAGGCTGGAAGAAGAATGAAGGAAAGGTTGGATTTAGCAATGATGGTAGTGTGTAATCATATCATACACGATGCTGAACAATGGGTGTAACATCAAGCCAGCATTTTCCCTATCCATAAACTGGAAAGGAAACAACTGGACAGTTTCAATGAATTACGCAAACCCACAAGAAGCTTCAACCACACCAAAACTTGCTGCAAACTTGTTTACCCATAGTAGACATTGAAAGGTGGCAGAGACAAATGGAGACGGGTAAGTCAGCAAAAGATAAACTTGTTTCCTCCCACTTCCCTTCAAAAAAATACAGAGCAGTGGTATCCTTGGGCCTTGCAGAAGTAGCTTTAATTTTGGCAACTGGGGAGTCCAATTTTGATGCAAACTGCATTTTCCTGCAAAAGACTTCTTCGTAGAATCTAATGACATAGCCATTCACCATTTCACCTACCCCTAGTCTCCTAAAATTTTCGCTCTCAAGCAACCCACATAGATTATTCCTATTATCCTATCCATCCACGTAGATTGGAAAGTTGCGTCCAACTATCTTATTACTTTTTATTTTGGTCCGAACTAACTTATTACTTTAAATACGTAAACTCAATGTTTTAAAATCCGAACCAGAATGAGCAATAGTTCGCTACAACCTAAGTTGATGATTCAACCGGCTCACGGTTTGATCAATTGAACCAATGGGTCCAATTTTTAAAACATTGCAGAAAATTCACAATTGACAACGTCCTTAAGCTTTTCCAACATACTCCTCACCCTCAAGTACTTCTTCTTATTCAAGGGTAATAACTACAAAATAACAACATAGATCCAATAAACACTACAATCTATTGCCTGAAAACCAAGGTCTTGGTAAATTCCACTGAACTAAACAAAACCTCGGAGTTCAAGGCAACGAATTATCGTGCTACGTGCCACAAGAGCAACCACTTCTAAACTCATCACAAAACGATATAACCAAAGAGTGAATCACACAACAAAAACAAACACAAATTCAGAATTGCACAGAATTCACAAAGAACACATCAGAAAACGTAAAACACAAGAAATGAAGCGACAAGGTAATCAAAAATTGGAAAAAAAAGAAGAAGCTACGTTACCTAACAAAGAGAACAGAATTATTATTCTTACTATGATTTCACTCAGTCACAGAGTTATCGCAGAAATGAAAATAAAGAAACGACAATCACAGAACAACAACGAACTTTCGACTCGGAGAGAGGGGAAGATGAAGACGACGACGTGATCGGCGATAAACGCGTTGTTGTTGTTGTCGTTTGTTTCTTTTTTAACACAGCTTCGATAGGAATCTTGACAGAAACGTTGGGTCGTTTTAAAGTGAGAATTGAAGTGCGTCGACGTGGAATTTATAGGGGTTGTATGAAGGAAAATCTGGTGAATTTGTAATTCGAGAGGCTTCGAAATTGACCCAATCTGCAAGAAAACGAAATATATATATAATTTGAAAGGGACATTAACACAATCATTCATGCAGTGCTGGTCACCCCTCTTTATTTTCCCATTTCAGTTTTTTTTAACCCTTCAAAATATCTCACATAACATCGATTCGCAACACGCCACGTACTCCTTTGAGTTGCGTGTAAATATCTTGCAAGATTTGAATTCACTTTAGGACACCATAAAGGAGCTTGCTTAATATTCTCCGGTTTCTTTTTTTATAAAAATATTATCTCTTCTTAATTATAAAAAAATTAATAGAATGTTCACATAACTCACAAGAAGTTCATTTACAAATAGAGGATATGGTGTCATAACAATTGTCTACAGAGCAATTTATCTTTTTCCCTATATACATCTTCTTCATCTGCCTTTTCACCCCTCTATTTTTTAATCTTTGTTGAATGTTATTTCTTTGATAGGAAGACTTAAAGAATGAGTTTGATCTTTCATCACATCATGCATGTTGCTCTTTTATAATGGAACATAGCCTTTGGATGATAATGTTATTCATGAACAAAGGTTCTTTACACCTCATAAAAATTGCTTATGTAGATAGGTTAGATCGATGGAAGGAAGGCTCCTTAACCAGGCTGAAAAGCAAGTCCTAATTAAAACAACGTTACAAGCCATTCTTAGTTATGGTATTTCTATAATCAAGTTTTTGTAAGACCCTTTGCTTGCTAATTTTTCCCTTTTGGTTGAATAGACCAGGCAAGGATAAAGGCATTCAATGGAAGAACTTGAAGGAATTAAATATATCTAAATGAAGGGTAGTAGTAGCTTCAGAATTTTTCAAGCAATGAATATCCTGTTACTAGCTAAACATGTTTCAAGGTAAAGTGTTTATAAGAAGATTTAGGAGATGAATTATTGGGCATGTGGCTCATGAACGACAAGCCCATTTCTTCAAACTAGATTGAAAAGTTTCTGATCCATTTTTGAATCGTTAGGGGATGAACTAGCCTTTGAAGTTGTGGATATTCCACTCAGGCTTATGAAAAGGAGAGAGAATTTGGTTTTGCTTTTTGTAAAAACTGGAGGGTACATTGAGATTAGCATATCATATTGCAAATCAACCAATCTTCCTCCCTTTCTACCCCAATGTAACTATGGAAGGTTGTTTGATTCAAAAATCGTGAAGATCTTTCTTTGGAAGATTAGTCATAATGCAATACCAATCAAGCAAATTTGTATAAAAAGTTGCTTCCCAATGACCTCAAGAATCTTAAAAAATCATTGATCATACTCTATTATTGTGCCCTCAGACCAAAAAAGTTTGGTTTGCATCTCAGCTTCAAATCGTTCCCTCAATACAAGGATTTAGGATTAGCTGGGGACTAAGTTGAGTATCTTGAGGACCATGGATCAGTATTTCCAAACAAGTGCACCAATTTCAGCTAAAGCTTTTAGAAGTTTTCAGAAACTACCCACCAAAACATGAAAAATTAAGAAATATATGCATGAAATAAGGTTAAACAAAATAAATTTTAAAATTTTAAATATATCCTCTAATGATATACATACGTTAGGATTTTTTTAAACACTTATACTATTTAATAATTTTTAACAAAATATAAGATTAATTAATTTAATTATTAATTTAATTTTTTTACTAAATAAATAAATTTTATAATTTTATATAAAAATAAAATTAATAAATATTTTATCGTATTACCTTAATTTAACATGTAATAAATTTTTAAAATATAAATAATATATTTACAAAAATTTAAAGGATATAAAATTGATATTATAATTATAAAAATAATATAAAATAATTTAACATTTTGACTAATAAATTTTATATTTTATAAAAAATTATCAAATAATTTAAGTGTTTAGTAACGAGTCTCTTATATATATATAATATAAAATTAATAAATAAATAATATATTAATGTTTTTAATATTAATTTAATTTTATTAAATAATATTTTAAGAATTTTAATTAAAAATTTACTGAATATTGTATAATTAAATATTACAATATAATATATTTAAAATATTTTTAATTTTTTAATTAATATATTATATTTTTTATATTATTTATAAAAATTTTGTTAAAAAATTAAAAATAAACAGTTAATAATAGTAAAATTTTATTAAAAAATATTTATTATATTTTTATAACTTTAATATAATAACTATTTATTTTTTATATAAAATTTTTTATTAAATTTTTTTATAAATATAAATTAATTATTTTACATAGACAATTTTACCCTTTATAACACTGTAATTTACGTCTCATATCTATTTGCAATTGGCTTAGCTTCAAGGCTTCACGTTTCGCTCTGTCTCTTTCTGCGATCTCTCTCAAGCTCGATTCAAGGTTCCTTATCCGGGGCAAATCTCTCTCAAGCTCACGTGTTGCAGGTTTCTCTCACACTTTCTCTCTATATATTCTCTATGCTGTGAACGATTATGTGTGGGTTCGTTCTGTTCTTTGGTTTTGATTGTTTGGGTTTTGTTTATGTCGTTTTAACAATCTTGCGCTATTCATGTAAGCGCTTCAATTTTAATTTATTTTTTGTTGAATTAAGTGTACTGATGGGTGTTTAAGTTTATTGCTGAATCTGTAATAATTCAATTCATTGGGTTAAATTATTGTGGCTGTGTCTGTATATTCTATGAAAAAAATTATCAATGATTAGAATTGCAATCTGCCCTAACTTGTCATGGTTTCGAATGCTATTTTGGCTTATGTAGGAAATCATTTGTGAGTTTCGAATGCTCTAATTGTTCTCCCTCTTTTATTTTATTTTTTGGTGGTATGTGAATGGCACACAGTGTGTTTGTTAAAATGGTTATAAAATACATCTGTTATAAAGGGAACCTTTTTCTATTTGAATCGTAACAAGGGTATCTGAAAACCTGAAATTTGTTAATTCACCGAGAGTATGGGTCCTTTGGTTGGGGAATTGGACTTGGTAGTAGAGTAAAACATTGGTACAGACAGTAATATGCTGTTGAGGTACGGTTGTGTTTGCTGCATTTGATGTTCATATTCACAAGCTATAGATAATTATGGGGTGTAGAGTTTGTTTGGTTGGGTGGAACTAAGTCAGGAAAAGGGATACAATTTCTAGTGTAACATAGTTCTAGGTCTTGCTACTTTTCCTATTTTAATTACATTAAAAATCTTATTACCTTGCAATTTTTGTAATCTGTTTCATGCCTATTTTAGGTGTAGTTACCCAAATAAAAGTTTTTCCCTCCATTATGAAACTCATGAAGTGATGTTACTGGGTAGGGGGAAGCATGTGGACCCCAAATTTTGAAGAAATATGACTCTTGAGGACTTGTATAATGACCCAGGATCTATAATTTGATGGAAAATTTAGGCGATGCTTTTGGGCTATATACCTTTCTGGAAACTCTGAAATCTATTATTTTGTAGTCCTAAGTGGACTAATTATCAATTTTGACCGGATTTATCTTGAAGAGTACATCAAATAACTTAAATTCCCTTTGGAATGAAATTCTGTTATTTGAAGATTGATGCCTTGATGACTTTACTCATCCTTCATGCTGGTTGTAATGTAAACTACCATGATTAAGACATAATTTGCAAGAACTGAACTTTAGCTGAAACTTTGATAGGACCACACTGCATGTGTGTAGCAGAAGCAGAAAAAATGGGCCCAATAACAAAGGGCTGTTGGTTTATGAGAGGGAAAAAGAATAGTCGAAGGGGGTAGGAGGTAGAAAATGCAATTAGCAAAGAGAGAGAATGTCATAACAGAATTGGGACGACGGCATGTGGGATGAGGATTTGGAAATTTGGGAATCACAGGGGGAAGAGGGAGAGACATTACAAGAGGGGTGTGTGTGTGTTGGGGGGGTGCGGGTGGAGAGAAAGGGGGTATGGAAAAATTAGTACTAGAGTGGAGAACAATTGCACTACCTCTGTTTGAAATCAGAGGTAGCACTTCTTTCAGGAATACAACTTTTGCTGCTCGTCTTACAGTTTTGATGATATTGAATTATGATGTTTTCTTTAGTTATTTATTCTTATGCTGGGGGAGAGAGGGAATTTAGTTGGATAAATTCATTCATAATGGCATATTATATTATAACTGTAAAATGTAAAATAATAAAATAAATGAAATTTATTTTTATAACAGGTTCGAAACATGGGGATTTGATATCTAAATCGATTCAATTTTATTATTTGTTTTCTAAATAAAACCATTTCCAATTCTTAATATTTCCATACACATCCTAATGGTTCCAGTTATGGAGGAGCAATTCATACTTAGAGTTCCACCTAGTGTGGCGGAGAGGATAGAGCGTCTTCTGAATGAAAACAATCCTTCTTCTTCATCTGAAGACAAGTCATTAGATTTGTCATTCAGTGAGGATGGAAGGGGTGGTACGTTTGTGATTGGGAATGATCACTTCCCAGCTTCTCTATTGGACCTTCCTTGCGTTGTTGAATCTTATAAGACTTATGATGATAGCTCTTTGATTAAGACTGCTGATATTGGTCAGGTAGGATTCCATCACTATCCACATAATTCATTCATTCTGAATCTCACTCTTGGATTCATATTAATATCGATTTAATGCTTAATCCAACTAACAGATGATTATGGTGAGGGAATCTGGTGATGCTGCTCCAGATGTAATTGAGTACAGACATGGCCTCACCCCACCCATGAGAGATGCTCGCAAGCGTAGATTTCGCAGGGAGCCTGATCTTAATGTATTCTATTCCTTCACATGACATTGACATTCATATTCACATTAACATACCTGTTTGTCTCTCTCTTTGTATATATATATATATGCTCTCATATTTACTTTTTATTTTCATTTTTTATTTTACAGCCTGAGCTTGTCTCCCGTGTTGAGAAAGATCTTCTCAAAATCATGGCTGGAGGAACAGCAGACAATCTTGATATCCTTACAACTTTGCTTGTCAAACAATTAGTGAACATTTCAATCCTTAAATACAAATTTATGAATCAACTTTGAATTTTTCTCTTTAAAATATATGGTTATTGAGATCATTGTTCTTGCTTGCTTCTTTCCCACCTTTTACAATTTGTAGGATAAACTAGAGTAGCTATTTACATCAATGACAGTGGCTAGTTAGTTGCCTTCTTGATAGTGTGAACAAGCTTAGCTTGGTTATTTCCTTGACTGAGATTTACATGTGGAAGCAGCTGAGCAAGAAGGGGATGAGAATGCAAGAGGGGCTAATAAAAAACCTGCACCTACGCCTGCACCAAAACATAATGTCTCAGAGAATCTTACAAATGCAGGGGAGCCTGACAGGAGTGATTCTGAGGAATCTGATGACTCAGTTTGACTGAAATCAACTACCAAAGAATATTTATATCACAATGATGAAAGCCTGTATAGCATAACTTTTGCTGTTAAATTTGAATATTATACAGCATCTTAAATTCTACTAAAGTGGATTTACACCCCACATTGTGCATTACACTTGATAAATGTTTTGTATTTTACGCTTTGTTTGATTGTTAACCTTTGATGTCTTCATTTCCCACGGATATATGAGAATAAGGGTAAGCAGGTGCTCTTAAGGGTGTGAAATGAATGCTTCAGAAGTGGATTAATCTTGACTCGTTATGCAGCTTGGATAGAGCCCAACCGTTAACGTTTATAGCTCAAGCACAGTTTCGAGGACCTATTTTCAGTTGACTGTAAATCGTAAATGACAGTAATAATCATCATCGTACGTGTCAATAAAATATGCAGTTATAGCCAAGGGCTGCTCAAAAGTGCATACCCCAAAACACGATGCACATCTGATTCCAGAAATGTGGACACTGCGTTTTTAATGATTTTTCTAGTAAAGTGATCAAGTAATATGATATCTAAGTATATTATGATTTTAACTCGTTAAATTTAAGAGGTGGGTATATCTTTATTTTTCAACTTAAAAAAATAGACTAATTATTTAAAAAGAAAATTAAAAGGATAATCATAAAAAAAAATAAAAAATCGTGTGCAATGTTTTATATTTATAATCAATAATGGTCAATGTTGATCCAATTGGTAAAGATTAGTTTTGTATTCAAGAACACGTTCAAATCTCGCAGTTGATGCGAAAACTTCATTGGCAAACAATCTGAAAATATCCCTCTATAAGCGTTCTGAGTCTTGAAACAGGCCCTGATCCTCGTAAGCTTTTGAGACTCAACTTGCCTAAACTTTTATCCACTGAAAATTAGATAATTAAACAGTCTAGAAATCTAAGTTAAATATGAACGGATAGGAAATATTTCAATTCTTTTACAAACTGGAAAGAGGGCAAAAAATGATTGAAGTGTAAAAGGAAAGACGAAATTCCTTGTATATATATACCTTGCTCAGTCAAAAAGAAAAGTTGTAAAAGATGATGTGTGGAGTCAAGTAGAAATAACGTTACTCACTACTCATAATAAGTTTTTGACTACATTTGTATGTGAACAAGACAATCATTTCTTGAAGGCCAAATATCCCGTTTGTCTTCTCCAGCTAAAGCTCTAACCTTCAGCAATTACCTACCTAGAGAGTATAAACTACAATGACCCTAAATATACCATACAAGATGGCATGTAGATCTAAACGATAAATATGGTCCAAAAATAATAAAACTTTGACAATAAACTAAAATTTATGAAAGTGCAATCTAAAAGAGTGTTATCCTTTTGGTCATAACAACACCAAAGCAAAACATACACTAATAGAAGATACCAAATACTGAAAGCTAGACACCTGGATGTTCAAACTTGCTCCAATAGGACCTACAGGTACTAATGCTGTTGAAGCTGAACTCCTTCCACCAATGCTCGAATTGGAACTGAAATCAAAATATTCAACGACCACATCAGATTTTTAAAACTTAACAACTTATTGTAAGCTGGTGTGTTGAAAAACAACTAAATTAAGTACTTATTTAATAAGCTCATTTATATGAGTACTGATGTCATAAATTTGATCGTGAAATTTTAGAATAAGTTGACAAATATTTATTCTAATTAGCTATATTGAAAAGTGTCTTATAGGAGTAGTTATTTTCATAAGCTCTCCATAAACTCTTTCAAATGCCTCCTAATTCATAATGGATGTGCATAGAGTCCTATTCTCACCTTCCCGCAAATATACAGGATCCATGACCTGCAATGTAACAAAGAATCCACCATTAATTGCTTAACTCTTCCACAAATCCTCAACAGAGGGTAAGGGTATGATATAACTCTCAATTAAACATTTAGTGCATGTTTCAATACAATTATTTTACAAAAAATAATTGCTTATTTTGTAGAAGCTGTCTCAGAAAACTCGCAAAAATAAGCAATTATTTCTTCAAAATAAGTTGAACTAAACATACACTTACGTGATAAACATAAAAGAATGAAAATGGAAACTTGTAATATCATGATGCATTCCCAGTTTTACAAGAGAATCATTGAAAGAGTTTGTCACTACTCATTTACTCATTCCCCTGTTGTTTGGTTAACATATCACTTGCAATATATTTCACAAAAAGTCCTTGGTACCAAATAGCATGGCTGATTATGCGATTGCAATTTATCAACATAAGGTTGTAGTAAGAAGACACCTGTAGGAGCACATGGTTATATATATGTTTGACAACACAGAAATAACTAGAAGTGTTACAAAAGTAACATACCAGAAAATTAGAGATAAAACAGAAAATAAGAAGCAACATGGACTTACTAGGATCCTGGGTAGTTGTTGTAGCTGTACCATCAAAGTCACATGTTCCACCAGCATTATGCATTTTTTGAAAATAATCGTTATAAGCATAAGAGGCATGGTTTTTCAAATTATTGGGTAAATAGCATGGTCTCCCTGGTTGAATAGCTGCACAATTTGCTTGGCCTTGTCCACAAGCCCAGTTCAAGCCAGCTTCCAGTTTTTCAGTGTCTGCATCATCTTTAGCCACACAAAAAGATGCTATAGAATTTCCATCACTCATGTTGGAAGCACTAAAACTCAAAGGATAAACACTACTTCCATTAGCATGAAAAATCCCCCAATTCTTTTCTGATAAAGGTCCATTCCTCTTGTCTTCATTAAATAATTCATACATGTAAGTATTAATAGCTATCCTTGGTTGACTAGGAGGACCTGAACCATTGAGTACTCTAATAATTAAATTATTATTGTATGTCTCAGCATTCTTTGTAGTAGCATCTGGTTCATTTGCTCCACCAAAACTAGGCCACCCAGTTTCTGTGACAATAATGGGTATATTATTGAAATTGAAGGCTTCTATAGCATAATAGGTAGCATCTACCATAGCATCAAACATGCTGTCATAATGGAATAGTGTGTTTGGGTCAACAATTTGCTTCACTGAAGGAAGGGATTGGAATAGAGCATATTCAATTGGGAAAATGCCATCTCCTTTGGTGTATCCATAATAAGGGTAAGCATTTAACATGTAAGAAGAATTTGTGTTCTTCAAAAACTGAAGAAGCTGGTAAATTGTAGAGTTCCATGAAGAGTTGAAGGTGGCTGTAGAAGGAGGAAAAGGCCTTGTGACTATGTCCATGGACTGAGGTGTTGAAATCTTAACGCGGAAGTTAAGGTTTGAAGCAACAAGGGCCTTGTGAAGATTGTTCAAGGCAGCAACAAGAACAGGTGCAACTTTTGGAACTGAGGTAAGAACCTCACTTCCAACTGATATAGCTGTGATGTTTGTGGATGGCATGTAAGCAGCTACATTCTTAGAAAGCCATGCTGCAGCAACTGATGCAGACTCTCCAATACTTAGTATCTCTTCATCTGTGACACCAACAATCACTTCAATGCCAGTGTTTGACAGTGCTTGTAGCATGTGTTCATTGGCATCATACAAACGCACGTGTGAAATTTGATGTGCTTTTAGAATAGCAACCACATTTGAAGCTGATGGTAGATCAGTAACATCAGTGCCAATGTTTACCCCCACAAATGCACCTACATTATCCATGTTCAAGAATGTGATCTAACATCAACTGAGAAAATATGATACACAATCATCTGTCAGCTACTGAAAATTTGAAATAACCAAGCATAAAAAAGTACCATCCATATTGTCAATATTTATGTTAGAAAAGCTGAACTTTCTATTTTAAGAAGCTTGATTCTTACTTCTAAGCTAAATCAGATGAATTAATAGATGAACAAGCAAACCATAAAATAGAAAAGTGAAATTGTGATTGAAAAAGGAAATTACCTACTACATTGCTTACTGATGCAACAACAAAGAACAAAACACTTGGGAGCCACCTTTTAGGCTTCATCTCTTCCAATATAGCTGGCAGACCAAGCCTAAACTATGAAAGCTTCAGCAAGCAAAAGAAATCACATCATTAACAACTAAAATTAGCAACTTTCAAGTAAATAATATCACTTTAAACAAAGTCAAGACTTTAATAAACAAATGAGGTTGAAAAATTATGGATGGGAACACAAAAAATTGTAATGAAAAACTCATGCACATGTTTGGTGTTGTGCAGCCCATTTTTCAACAAGCTTTACTATTTACCATATGCGTTTTGCTTATTCATATAGGAACCAAAACTTGGAATGACAATGGAAGCATTACTTGATCACAGTTTGTGAGTAGAGTTGGGTTGTTGCTTTGTCTTCTTTCCCTTTCAACACTTTATTTGAGAATTGAGACTTTATGTCATGCTTGTCTTTACCATTGATTTTCCTTCCATTCCAACAAGTCATTCATTTTCTTATCTTTTGTTTTCTTCTGCAATCATAGTCATAAAATCAATCACAAATCACAGTGCTTTACCAAAACTATAAAGGAGCCGAAAGGTCAATAACGCGTTACTATATTATTATTTATTACCACTGTTTCCTCGTTTCTGTTTTCCCGGGTTACCTACAGCTAAGCTATACAATGCAGTTCAATGCTTCGAATTTGAAAAGCCAAATTATTACTAAGATTTTTCAAAAACGGCTCTGAATTTTGTTAGTGTTAATGTGATGTTCCTTGGAAGCAAGAAGTGAATACACATTAAAAAAGGCGACAAGGACAAGAAATATGGGGCCATTCCATTGGGAGAAGAAAAATGAGTCTGTAAAGTGCATAAATGAGCACAGTGTTCCCAATCACAGCATCAAATGTCAAAAAGTGTTTTCTATTCTTCTTTCCCTTTTTTCTTCTCTTTACTCATAAGCGACAACCACCAATACCTGCCACTCATATGCTCATACCGCTCTTCAATTTCAAATCAGTTATCACTTATCCTCACTCATGGACATGGGATACAGATATGCTTAAATTATGATTTTTTTTTTATCAAAAAAAATCAATAAAATTTTTATATTTATATATTATTTATTATTTAATATATTATATATTATTAAAAACATTTAATTGTAAATATATACTTTAATAACTTGTTTAGAAAAACCTTTCTTCTCATCACCCAAAGCTCTCAATCCAATTAACCATTTAGGTTAGTGATTAAAACGCGCCAGAGATTAAAAAAACAAGTTAAATCCCAAAGATTTAGATTAGTTCACTCCACAAACTCAGCTATGTCAAGTCCTTAAGTAAGAAGCTTGATATTTTTTTATACCTAAATAAATTTCAAAATAATTAAAAAATATTTGCCTATGTTTTATAATTGAAGTTTTGAAGAAATAAAGTTTAAATGCGTTTAATTAGGTTGGGTTCTTAGAAGAAAAAAAATGAAGATTTAAGATGAAAATTTAAATGCTTAACTAGGTTTGGAGAAGCCCAATGTAGTTGTATGAATCTTAACTTAAGCATAATTTTTTTATATATAACTAAATGCTAATATAATACAAAAGATATTAATATGTATTTTTATTTTTATTTTTTAAGTTTGGTGGGACGTTAATTCATATGAAAAAATTGAGCTTTAGGATTAAGCTTACTTGGGGTAAGCCCATTATATCTGAATGGGCTTTAGTATTGATTGGGCTTTATGTTGTCTTTATACATTATATGAACTATTAATATAAGTTAGTTTTTTTAATAATACACTTCTCTTAATTAATAATTAAAATTTATTAAAAAGCATAATAATTATATTAGTTACACTTTTTTATTTTTAAATTAATATTTTCCTTTGTAATTTTCATTTCAAAATTATCCATTATGAATTTATGATCATAGATAGCTGGCATCATGGTTGGAGAGGGGAGGATCCAAATCCTTTTAACTCATTTAGATAAGCCTGGGTACAGCTCGCAGCAGTAAAATATTTTGGGTCGGGTATTTTTTTATATTTTAAAAATATATCGTATAAAAATAAAATTGATTAATGAAATATAAAATAAAATATAAAACTATATAATTTTAGAAACTTGATTTAGATTGTATTTGGATAAAAAAAACTTAATTACTTATTTAAAATTTATTAGAATAAATTAAAAGTAATTATTTTAATAAGGTACATTAAAAAAATTATCTAAATACCTTCTTACACAATGAAAATGCTTAATCGAAAGGTTGAATTAAGGAAATTTAATGTCTATAGAAAAATATAGCAAGTAGATTATAAATTGGCCAAGACATTTTTTTTTCTTCTAATAAGTAAATCTTTTTTCATACATACATATATTGAGAATATTAATTTTTCTGTTTAAATTTATTTTTTATGTTGTCTTTTAAATATTTTTATTCAATTTAATCCTCTATTTTTTATTTTTTTTTATCAAGTAAACTCTTTTGTGATAATGGTGACAAATTTTACTGAAATCTCACCAGACTAAAATTGTTTTCAATGATTATATTCATTCTTAATTTTCGGCAAAATTGTAAAAAATTAAATAGTGTTATAGTAAAAAGTTAACTTGATTTTAAAAATAAAATTAAAGAATTAAATTACTAATTTTATCTATGACAAAAAGCACCATCAAAGTTTAATAGCTCATGGATAAATATATTTACAAATAAAAAAAATATTAGAAACATATTTTTATAATATATTTTTAGTTAAAAATATATATTTTTCTACTGTTTCCTTTTAAAATTCCCCTCTCATACAAATTTTAAATATTTTTTTAATATTATATTTAATTAAAAAAGATAATCTTTTAAGTGTTTATATGTAAAGTTTTGTTCAAAATAATATCTTCATTTGCGACTTAAAAATGAAATCAACATTGTTTTTGTTGGGATTTTAGAGTATTTACATTGTTTTGATCCATGATTGTATAATTAATATCATTAAGATATGGTGTTTGATATTAATTATAAATAAGAAAAGAGGAAGTTAATTCTAAAGATAACTACTAGGTAGTTATTTCTTATGGTAAACACCAAATAGTTATGTTAGTAACTACTAAGTAGTTATGTTTTATTTTTCCTTCTTAGAAATTCCTCTAAATATATATAGAACTCATGTTCTATTATGGATGATGATGAAATTTAGTTTCAACGTAATCATAGCATACACATCAAAGTGAAAAGTACTTGCAAAATTATTTCTTCTTTGAAACACCAATAACACAAAACTGAATTTACCTTGTGTTCCTATTAGACGTTAATTCATACAACATGAATTATCATTATCAATCTTCTTTGTATCTCAAAAGAAAATTTTGTAGTACCTTGCGCTCTAATAAGGGACAAAATATTACTTTTAGAAAAGTATGTATTTACACCTAAAAGATCATATTGTCAAGTCTCAATTATTGTAAATCTTGTTTCCCTTTTAATTTAAAAGTTCTAACAATCTAAAAGCAATATCTCAAAGATGGTAACAATTCGTGAGATGTCCACTAGTTTTCACAAGTTGAATAAGTTTGAAGGTGTTGAATTTTGAAAATGGCAAAAGAGCACTTAACATGGCGTATGTTCTAAGTTCGCCTAAACCTCAAGTAAGCGAGACTAAGACATTGGAAGAGTAACAAAAGAGGAACAAGTGGGAGAAACAATTAAGCTTGTTGTGGTCATATTTTTAACGGTACGTTCGATGCATTATTTGATATTTATCAATTTGTGAACTCTGCAAAGGATCTTTGGGATGAAATTGAAAGTAAATACATGGCTGAGGATGCATCAAGTAAGAAATTTCTTGTTAGTAATTTTAATAATTACAAAATGGTTGACTCTAGGCCAATAATGGAACAATTCCATGAAATCCGAAGAATCCTAAGAAGTTTTAAGTAACATGACATCAAAATGGATGAGACTTTAACTGTTTCTTCTAAAATTGACAAATTACCACCAAATTGGAAAGATGTTAGAAATTCACTTAAATATAAAAAGGATGATATGAATGTTGAACAATTGGCAACTCATCTTCGCATAGAAGAGGGAATTCGTATGCAAGATGGTCAAAAGGATTCTAATAATCCTAATTCATCCATCATTAATATAGTGGAAGATGAAAAGTCAAAAACAACTTTTAAGAGCAAAAAAAGGCCTAAAGATTTCACGAAAGATAAGACGGGCAAGAAACCTACAAATGGTGAGAAAAATCAAGTAGCCGGTTGTTGGGAATGTGGCAAGCCCAGTCATTTCAAGTTTGGAAAAGGAAGATAGCCAAGAAGAATGGTCAACAAGGTCATGGCGAGTCTAGCCAAGATCAATCCACAAAAGATAATTGTACAATAATTGCACATAATTCTTGTATGAATTTTGTGGATATAATTTTTGAAAAATCTTTTGTGTACATGATGATTTATCATGGTGGATTGATTCAGGAGCATCGAGGTATATATGTAAATATCGTTATTTATTCAAGACTTTCAAGGAAGTTGACAATGGAGAAGTTATTTACATGGAAAATGATTCTATGGAAAAAGTCTTAGGTGTTGGACAAGTAGAATTATTGTTTAGTCCTAAAAAACCTCTTATTTTAAGAGATGTATTATATGCTCTAGAACTTAGGAGAAATTTAGTGTCTAGTGCTATCTTGAGTCAATTAGGCTTTAAAATGGTGTTTGAAGCCAATAAGTTTATATTATATAAGGGTGGTCTATTTGTTGGATTAGGTTATCTTTGTAATAGCATGTTCAAACTAAGTATTATAAATGATGTGAAAGACTCTATTTATGTTATTAATCATGATTCTTCTCTATGGCATTTTTGACTTGGGCATGTTAATTATAGGAAATTATATTCTATGTCTAAGTTTGATTTGATTCCTCTTTTTAATTTAAATATAGAGAAGTATAGAACATGCATGTTAACAAAGATAACAAGAAATTCATTTCCTAATGTAGAAAGAACTACAACATTGCTTGAATTGGTGCATAGTGATTTGTGTGATTTTCATAATACTCCTTCCTTAAGAAATAAGAAATATTTAGTAACATTTATCGATGATCATACACAATATTGTTATATATATTTATTATTTTCTAAGGATGAAGCCCTTGAAATGTTTAAGATCTATAATAATGAAGTGAAATTGCAACTAAGTGTTAAAATCAAAATGTTAAGGACCGATAAAGGTGGTGAATACTATAATCCAACTTATTTTCAATCTATGGGAATTATACATGAAACAACCACGGCTTATGCACCACAACAAAATGGTGTAGCGGAAAGAAAGAAAAGG